GTTGCCTCACCCACACTCCCCAAGCTGGCTTTACAGCAGGGTCCTTGGCAGGATGCCAGCAGAGGGTGGTGGTGGCATCAGGTGACAACATGTGCCAGACCAGGGTGTGGCGTGCAGGCGCATGGCGCCCCCTGGTGGAGCAGCGTCTGAAGGGGACTTTGGAAAAGGGGAAATGGTCTGGTCACCCTAGAACCCAGAGGCGTACAATTTGGTGTCCAGAATCAGCATCAGTCGCGCCCGTGGTCAGTGTTGATCAACAGCTTCTGCAACAAATCCAAGTATCCTGCTGCTTTTCAAAGCATGAGCAGGTGTGAAAGTGCCAGACATGCTCCTCACACTTGCAGGCGAGGCGTCGGGCACACACACTGTCCAAGCCGCTTCCCTGAGACAGGCTTGTCGCCACAGGGCCCTTCGGTCACACGCTGTGGGGGCCTTCCTTCCCAACAGCAGAAGGGCGCCAGGTAGCACGTGTGCCACCCTTCCGAGACCAAAGCTTCTTGAATGGCCTCTGGCATGAACTCCACAGCCGGGAACTAGGCCCAGAGGCGCTTGTGATCTGCTGACTGAATAATTTAGGGCAGAGTCCACTTGGCTCACTGACCTGCTCACACCCATGTTGCTGGTGAGCAGTCCTATGCTGACCAGTGCCAGCACCTTCTCTGAGCTGAGGTGGGGCCTCTGGACTCTGGAGGCTGTAGGTGTCTATAGCTGACCCCCCACCTGGCACCTCACCTGACCGCCATCTAACCTCCCACCTGGCACTCACCTGGCACCACACCTGACCCCCCATCTAACCCCCCACTTGGCACCTCACCTGACCCCCCACCTGGCACCACAGCTAAACAGCACACTTGCCAGACTCAGCCTGTGAAGGAGTCTGAACCTGATTTATCTCAGTTGAGCACCTACTGTGTGCAAAGCCCGGGGACATTGCAGAGGAACAGGGACCTGTTTGCAGCCTTGCACGGGCTTCCTCTGCTTGGCTCTCAGAACGTTGGGACTGCAGGGAGCACCTGGCAGGTCTATGGGAAATTGGGGGAATGCGGGTGCCATGGCTTTTGGGACAGAGCTTCAATTACCTAAAATTTAAGAATTGTGGGTTCATTTTGACCAGAATATTCCACTTGTTTACATTCAGAATGTACCGTGTTTTGGTGGTGGTTCTGTACCCCCCCTCAGCCTCGGCTGATGGCTATGCCCCCTTCCCACGCAGCCTCTGCTGGCTCCAGCCCTTTCTCTGGTCTTGTCTCCGGCAGGTCCCTCGGGTCCTCTCCTTGGCTCCTCATACCAGCCGTCCCCCCCCAATCGCCTCTTCTCACCTCCGCACCTGTGCCTGCTGCTCCCGAGAGAAGGGAGGGCTTCCTCATGTCATCCCCTGGCCCAGGTTTGGTGAGACTGCATGAGGCTTTGCCTTTGTGTGACCATGGGACCAGACTTTGGAGTAAAGTGCTCGCCTTGTGTGATCCTGCATGCCTTTGGGAAGAGTGTTCACGTACAGGGAGAAGGTCATGGGAACCCTCTGGTCCTGGCAGGAGGAGAAGCTGGCACCTTTTCGGGGTAAGAGTCCTCAGGCCACCAATTTCCTCCAGCTGGGTGCCAGAGGACTGCATCCACATTGGCCACCAGAGGCCACTCTCCAGACCCCACAGAAGCCAGCCTTGGCTTGTTTCTCGAGGTGTTCAGAGACTCAGGCTCCTCACTCCTTGCTGGGTCACCCCAGGACTGCTGGAGGCACAAGTCCCTCATGGGACTGGGGCATCCAAGCACAAGAGCACGATCGCTAGGGATGAGTCTGGCTCAGAGCAGAGAACCCTCACTGAGGTGGCCAACATGGAGGGGTTTTTCTGACAAGAGCTTGGGGCCACCTGCCTTGATGGCACATCAGCCTCATACCTTGTACCAAGGAGCCTGCAGGCACAGGCGTGTCCTCTTCTGGGAAGCTTCCTCCTCAAGGAGGGGAGGGGCGCTCCATAGTGCTGTAGCCTTGTGGTCACCTTCCACAAGACAGGTCTGTAAAACCTGCCATCCAGGTAAAAGTGTGTGAGGGTTGTGGCTGTCAGATAGGGAAGCTTCCTCTCTCCAGGTGGTGGCAAGGGGCCCCAGTCTGAAACGGGTGGGTGGAGGTGAGAGGAGAGAGAGAGAAAGAGTTCTAAGGGAACAGAAAGTGCCCAGGAGTGGGACAAGACGCCAGCCTCCACCTCAGGCAGATCCTTCTGAGGTCTGGATCCCACATGAGTGGCAGCTGCAGTGGGTTTGCAGGTGTGCATGGCCTCCCGGGCTGCTGTCCTTGGGCGGTCACATGAGGGCAGGTGCCCAGCCTGGCCGGTGTTGGGGGTGAGCACCAGAGGGTGCTGGCTCCCTGCTTTTCTGCAGGACTGCCACCAACCAGTTTTCCGATCCAGCCGCCGGAAAGTAGGGTTCGTAATATCGTTCTCTCGCCGAAGAAAGTCACCTGGAGTTGTATTCTGAGCACAAAAGAAGGTCAGAGAGAGGATCTAATGATGGCGACGCCTCTTCTCAGGGGTCTGGCTGACGGCCCCACAGCCCTTGTCTCCAGCTGCTCTGAGCCCGCTTTCGGAGGCCTTTCATTGTCATCTGCTTGGCGGGCGGGGGGGGGGGGGGAAACGGGTGAGGCTGCAAGCTGGGGTTGCCCCGCCAACCTGGGTCCCTCGCTGCTCAGGCCTGCATGCCGGTGGTTCTGCTCACAAGGCTGGCCTCAGGCAGGGGGGCTTTTCAGGTCAAGGGAGAGTCTCTGGCCACAGCCACTCCCCAAATGCAGGCCCCTGAGACCTGCTGGCAAAGCTCCACGAGGTCAGAAGTTGGGGGGGTGTCCCTATGAATCAAGTGGGTGCCAAGCAGCGGGATGAGATAGAGGGCAGCCTCGATCTTCCCATGAGTCCACACTGAGGTGGCCTCTCTTCCTCCAGATTCAAGGCAGCTGCCTTCTGGTGATGTGTCAGAAGGGCCAGCATTAACAGATCCATGTTTGAAGGGGGAGGGGGGTGGCCCTGGGCCTCTGAGTCCTGGATTGCACAGGGTGTCTGGCCTCAGGTTTCATGTCATAGGCCTGTGTCACAGTAGCATGGTGCCCCCAGAGAGCCACACTTCCTCCCTCCCGGCCAGCTGGCAATAATCACTCCAGCTAATCCCAGAAAGGTAAAAACAGTTAAAGCGTTTTAGAATTGTTACTGAGTTCTAAATCACATAAAGTATACAACTCAGTGTTGGACAGTCATCTTGTTTCCGGTTTGATTTTTTTTTTAATTAATTTTTTTATTTTAATAAAATTTATAAATAATTAATAAAATTAATAAAATTTTTTATTTTGAGAGAGAGAGTGAGAAAACCCCAAGCAGGCTCCACACTGTCAGCACAGAGCCCGATGCGGGGCTTGAACCCACGAACCCTGAGATCATTACCTGAGCTGAAGACAAGAGTCAGACACTTAACCTACTGAGCCACCCAGGTGCCCCTAAAAACCAATTTTTCTGAATCCAAAAGGAATATGTTCTTATTGTAGAATGGTTTAAACATTCTGCAAAGCTCCCTCAAAAGTGGCTGTAGGGAGAAGCCAGACTGTCCTGCAGGAGGCGGTGCTCTGGGCCAGCACAGTGAGCCGGTAACACCGGTGATGAGCTTGTGAGCGGCTACTGAGGGGCCATGGACTCAGTAGGTCTGTGCCCTGAACAGCACTGAAGAGCCCTTCTGAGAAAGCCAGAAGACGGCGAGGACCAGTGTCCTCAGCAGACCCACTCGCTGCCCACCGAGCCCCAGCCAAGCCACTCCGGAAATGGTCCTGGTAGCTCTTCCTGGGCGGACGAGCACAAAAGTCCAGCGACATTCCTCCTGTCCAGACTTTCCACGAGTCTAAATCAGAGCTTACTGATGGAAGAATCTTGGAAACTGGAGTATGTGTGGCCGACAGGAAAGACAGTGTTCTCGTGTTTCTGAATTTGCCACTTTTCAATAGTGTTCTTTTCTCCACAGGAATTTTACTGAGTTTTCATCTCCCTGACCTCTAAAATATTTACTTTAAGCCTCATACCTTCGCATGAGATGATAAATTATTCTAGTTCGTGGTATCTACACAGATCAGAAATTGGATCATCCAAACACGGGATAAGCAAATGTAGGAGGAAGAAGTAGATGAGGTGGCTCACATGGGCCTGGAGGAAACTGCCTGCAGGTCACGTGTGAGCGTCTTTCACCGCGTGAGTTGATCTTTACAGCAGACCTGTGAGAAGTACTTGTGTCTTCCGCTCACAGATAAACCGAGCCCAGCAAGTCAGGAGGCTCACCAGGATGTCAGGGCCAACACACCAGGTCCCCTCTCTGAGCTCGCTCCCTGGGCCCTTAGCTCCAGAGTCGCCCTCCTGAATTACCGAGACTGTTTGTCTAGGGTCCAGTGAGGGAGCCTGGCAGGCCGCCCGGTATAAGCTCCCGGCTCCTTACAGGCCCTGGTTCCATTTTGCACCTGGGGACACGAGCATGAGCAAAGCCAGCCTGGGCCCCCAAGGCCGTGCCCAGTCTCTGGGGTTTGGAGACGCACTTAGGATGCCCCTTCCCCCTCAAATGGTCTCGTGGGGGCAGCTGCAGAGCTGCAGGCCAGGGGCCAGGAGCGCTGGTCTTTGCGATAACCGGACTGGGGGCAGATGGGGTGGGAAGGCCCGCGTTCACCTGCCCCCCGGGCAGCCTGCCATAGAGACACTCGGCATGTCACTGGGGTGTGGCATTGCTGGGCGACGTTGGGCCTTTGGGGTTTTGATGGCAGGGTAGCCTCAAGTCCTCTGCATCTTGGGGTGGGGGTGAGGAGGGGTGTCCTGTGGGGATGCTGGGAGCAAGGCCCCATACTTCAGGCCTGGCATCAGGCCGTCCAGCGGAGGAGCACATCAGCCCCCCCAGGATGGGACTTGCCTGCCAAAAACAGAGCTCCTTTGGGCTAAAGATGAGTCCTGTGTCCTAAGTGATCAGGATAACGTGAGTTCTTTGTTTGTCTTTAGTCATGGGACATTTTTTTCCGAAACACCAATGCCGGAGCGCCCCCAGGCACCGCCTACCAGAGCCCGCTCCCCCTGAGCCCAGGCTCACTGTCCGCCGTGGCCAGAGTGCAGCCCCTGGTGGAAGCCCAGCCCAACGTGGACAAGCTGGTGGAGGACCACCTGGCAGTGCAGTCGCTCATCAGAGCCTACCAGGTAGGGTGCTGGCCGGGCGGTGGCACATCTGTGACACCGGGCACTCCGCGTGAACTGTCCTATAACTAGCACCCCACCAACCCTGAGACACACCCTCCCTGCCCGGGGGCCTGGGGAGCACACCTGAGATGTGCCAAGACGGAAGGAGCCAGGACAGTTGGACCCTGTTTGCAGATGTGAACAGCTCCTCATTTCTTCCCATAAGTTGGCAAGAAGAGCTTGTGGGCAGGGAAAGAAGGTCATGGCTGGGGGGTGGGGCGGGGTCCTAGCCACCGGGAGGGAGCAGTGACCAGGAGGGGTGTGCCCCTTCTCAGTCGCCAGTGCCCGGATACAAGAGAAAACGAACCCGCAGAGTTGGGGACAGAAACTGAGCCCGCAGACACGTGAGGGTGGAGCAGTGTCCAGGAATGTTCCAGTTGGTGATCAGCACCACTGAAGGGAGTGTCAGGGCAAGTGGGGCTCCCCTGATATTTCTTCACCTGACGGGGAAGAGCCCAGAATTCAAACCTGAGCACCTGTTCTGAGGGTAGCCCCGAGAAGGATAGGAGGAGAATTCAGGCCTGGGGTGTCCCTCCGGGGGTCCCTAGACACCCAGGGTGTCCCTCCCGAGGTCCCTAAGCACCCAGGGTGTCCCTCTGGGAGTCCTTGGCACCTGGGCTTGCTGCAGTCTCCTCATCCGTGTTCTGTCTCTAAGAGACGGCACGGCTGGGGCAGGTGGCGCGGGGGAGGGTAGTGGGTCCTGGCGAGCAGACGGAGAAGCTCCAAGCCAGTGGCCAGCAATGCTCTCCAGCATTGTTCAGTTGAAAGAGGCATATTGGGTGGCTTCTGACTGTCGCCTGCCTCCTGCAGCCTTAGTAATGTCACCTGGTCCCATGTCCCTCCAGCAGCCGCCCCTTCGCAAAGAGCTAGCACACAATCGTGGGCGAAACAGTCAAGACTTAAAACTGGGAGGGATTTTCTTCCTTCTCTTGCTCCTCGGGCAGTTGGGATCAGATGGGAAGGCCCTGTGCCTCTCGGCGGGCCCGGCCGGGTGTAGGGCAGACCCCCAGTGGCCACTGCCCCCCCCCCCCCAACTCTGGGCCAGCACCTGCTCATCCCCTCTCAGGGTGCAGAGGTGCTGAACTGTGTGGCTTCACGTGGGAGTGAGCACCCAGCATGTCCCGCTCCACTTACCCAGGGGGCAGCAGGGCTCCCCAAAACTGATCTCTGAACCGCCAGGTTCATCCGTGAGCACAAGTGTGCTTCACGATGACGACTAATCTTGTTGTTTTGGGTTCAGGTTGGACCAGGTGTAACATCCCCCACAGCCCGGGTCCTGCTAACGCCTGCCTGTGTTATTGCTTCCAGGTCAGGGGTCACCACATTGCAAAGCTTGATCCTCTCGGCATTAGTTGTGTAAATTTTGATGGTGCTCCGGTAACTGTGTCTTCAAACGTGGGTGAGAATGCGTCTGTAAACGCTAATTTTAATGTAATTTTACTTTTTTTTACCCCTTCCCTCTTTTTTTTCTCCTGTCCTCTTGTGTGTGACCCCTCCCTCGCTGGCCCGCTCGTAGATACGAGGGCACCATGTAGCGCAGCTGGACCCCCTGGGAATTTTGGATGCCGACCTGGACTCCTCCGTGCCCGCTGACATTATCTCATCCACAGACAAACTTGGTGAGGGTCTGGGGGCGGCCAGCGCCGCGCCGCCGCCCGGTGTCACATCTGTGGCGGCCAGGGTGTCTTCAGGCGCCAGGGAGAGACTCTGAAGTTTCCTTCGTTCTGATCACTCAATATTTAGTGCGTTTGGGACGAGTTACGTTTATCCCAGCTTTTCAGCCAGACAGTGTGAGCTCAATTGTCTGGGTCTCAAAATTGGAGAGTAAAATTTGGGGCAGAAAAGGTTTGTGGCACAGAGAAAAAGATGGCCTCACTGGGCAGGCAGGTCAGAAGACATGCTGGAGGCCAGCTCTGCCGGCTGGGTGTCCAGATCCCGGTGCAGTGCGGCCTCCACCCCTCCAGGGACTCTTCTCGGGGCCATGGGCACGCGCTGTGCTCTTGGGCACGAGACATGGCTGCCTGTAGCGGGCGGGTCCGTGCTGTGCGCTGGCTGTCAATCCGTAAATGCTGGTGATCACACCGAGGAAACTTTGGAAGGTGTCCCGGCGTGCAGGGAGGCGTGTGTGTGGCGCTCGGGCACTTGCTGTCACACGTCCCCACCCTTCCTTTGCCACCGTGCAGCACAGGGCGCTGGGTTCACCCTGCAGCTGCTTCCTCCAGTTAATCTGCTCTCGGTCACTGTGCCACTAACCTGTGCTGAGATGTGACTGATCTCGAAATGGCCAGGCGTCCACAGACACACCGTGCATGCTACTAAAACTGACGATTGCCTACCTGCCTAACGCTGCCCTATCGGGGGGACGGAACCCACCTCCTCGAATAACGGTCTCCCGCACCGTAGTGTCCCGGCACCCCGTAGGCTAGGTTTCAGACCGAATCGCTGCCGTCTCCACTGGAGAAATGCTGCTGGGGGTACAGGGCTTCCTCCCTTTCCTCTCCACCCTGCAGCACTCAGGCCCCACTCTACCAATACTTGCCTGTCCTGAAGCCCTGGCTGGCGCCTCCAGTCCTCCCCAGGGAGTCCCCTCCAGGTGTGGAAGGCAGGCGAGCCGCCCGGGGCCAGCTGGGGGCCTGGGGCCTCTCTCCCAGAGACCAGTGAGGGCCTCGGAGGCTAGTGTTCCCAGACACAGGAGGTGGGGGCTGCCATCTCCCACCTGACACCGCATCCCATCTGGGGGCATCCGTGCTGGCAGGGTGCTTGGTATTAAAGTGGACCTTTCCTGCTGGTTATGGGCTCTCATTAGCACTGCAGGGAGGGAGGGCGCGCAGCTCTGCTCTGCCCCATGTGAGGCTGGTCAGGCCAGGACCGAGCTGCATCCTGCGGGCTCCGGCACAGGATGCTTACAGGTCCCCCGGCTGGTCTGTGCAGGGTGGGAAGCCTGTGGACTCTTCAGTGTCTGTTCACAGCACTGGCCTGGGGCAGAGGCGGGGGTCAGGGCAGAGCTTACATCATGCTTTCCAGTTCTTTCTGGGCTGCTGTGGCCTCCCCTTAACATTCCATCTTAGAATAGTGTCCCTGGGCATTTGTGCTTGTGTGAAGTTGAGCGTCAGCATGGAATAGTTGTGCTGAGTTCTTGCTTTACGTGCAAACACTGGAAATAGCGGGTCTGCAGGTGCAAACACTGGAAATAAATCTGCAGGAATGTCAGTTTGGCACGTGCAGGTCTTCAGGAAAACAGCCGGTCCAGCCTGACCGCTGCTCATGTGCCCATGAGCGCTAATGTGCCCATGGTCTCCTCTGGGCCACGGGCCTGGCCTCAGCACCAGCCCCCTTGGTGGGAGCGGCTGTGCACCTCCGTCTCCTCATCCGTGAGGCTGTTGCAGAATTAGATAAACTCGTTAGAATGCTGCCTGGAGCTTCCTGAGCTCCGTGGGAGTGTGAGCTAGTGCGGTGCTTAGCAGTCTTCTGACGTAAGTAGCTGTCAGACCTCGTGGTCACAATGAGAGCAACTGAGGGGGCAGGCAGCCTGGGGTCACACCGGAGTCAGTAGTGGTGAGGGAGCCCAGAGCCACGGCCGGAGTAGGGTGGCCTGCACATTCCACGTGGAGGTCTCGGGGATGCACCACCCAGTCACGCGGCAGCTTCCCTGGGCCTGGGACCCTCTCGCACCTCCTCCAGGCTGACCTCTCCTTGTGGAGGTGAGCACAATTTGTCCATTCTTTTATGGGGAAACCAAGGCTGGGGAGAAGCTCGCTCCACACACGTTTGAGAGCACGTTCTGCTGAAGAATCACGTGGGAGGGGGCACAGCGCTGGGCAGGCGTGGGCTCCGGAGGCAGACAGCACGCGGTGTCCCGTGCTGAACTCGTGTGCAGTGCCGGCATGGCTCGTGTCCACTCGGAGTTGTTTTTTTATTTTAAAGAAAGTGGATTATGTGAAATAGTTTCCACGAAGCTCTTGCCCCTTGGCCAGTATTGAGAAGGGGAAATGCTGGCTTAGGGTCTGTACCCTACCATCTCGTGCCTTCCAGCACCTGAATAAACAGATACCAGTAGCCAGGCTCATACCCGTCCCAGCAGGCTCTGTGGCCAGCAGTGCTCCTGGACAGCCAGGGCTCCAGGGTTATGTCGGATGTGGCGCACACAGAACACCGCCAGTGGCAGGAACGTTGAGGACATGATTATTTTAACTATGATTTTAAATTTACACTAATGTTGGTACAGTTTCTGAATGAGGCCACAGTTGGGTAGGTGATTACTGGGAATGGGGCACCTTTTCCCACCTTTTGTGGGGAGCCAGGTGTCCCAGGTGGGCCCCAGTAACGCATCTTCATCCGTGTCAGGTTGTACTGTCAACCCCACGTCTGTGGAGGAGAGTCGGGAGCGCTGACCTGAGAGGCCCCGGCACATGCTCCACCTTGAACCCCAGGGGAAGCTGTGGGGGGTGCATACAGGATTGGGTTTCCTAGTGAGGCCTCTTCTGCTTGGTGGGAAAGATGGATCAGGGTGTGACGGATGGAAAGGTCTAGACAGAGAGTCCTGTGGAGTCTGGGTATTGCCATCTTCACTACAGACTGTGGACGCAGCCGCATTGCCTCACCTGTGTGCGGTTCTGCCTTGGGGCTGGTGTTCTGTGCCCGCAGCCCTCGCTTCCTTCCTTTGGGTGGGGAAGGAGCCTAGTCACCCTCGCATGGTCTGGGGCACCCTCGGAGGGGTGGTTTACCACGGTGTGAGATTTAAACACAATTAAAGGGGGCCCGAGACAAAATCTGTAAAGAGCAGGGAAGAACCTCACAGTGCTGCTCCTGTTTGCCACCATTGTTCACATTTGAGTTCAGTGCAGGGCTGGGGTAGGGCGGGGGGGGGGCGTGGCTGGAGACCCCTCGAGCTCAGCTCCAGACCTGCACAGGAAAACTGGTGTGACGCTGAAGCCTGCCCCGTGAGCACTTTGGCTCCCTGCGCGTTTGCACAGAGGCGTTCACACTGTGAGTGTGCAGTGGAGCACTGTGAGTAAAGGCCACGTGCGCACCTTGGTTCGGAATACTTTATGCTGAAAAGTGCCATCCGGCCTTCCTCACATCCAGACCACAGTCAAAGTGGAAAGTTTGAAACAGTGAGAATCACCATGTGACACAGAGACAGAGTGCACAAATACGGTTGGACAAACAGGGCCCATAGACTTGCTGGTGCAAGGTTGCCACAAATGTGTCAACTTCTAAAATTTGTTAGACCGATCCTGTCTGTGAAGTCCAACAACGCAAGGTGTGTCTGCAGTTACAAAGCCAAGTCAGAAGTGCAAGATCACGGCAGCATTGATGCTTGAGTGCATTAGTGGGGGACAGGGCCGCCCTGCCCATCTTCCTGGTCCTCCTGGTCCTCCCCATCTGCTCCAGCGATGGGGCTTCCCTGCCCATACTCCTGTTCTTCCTGGTCCTCCCCACCTGCTCTAGCAATGGGGCTTCCCTGCCCGTCCTCCTGGTCCTCCCCACCTGCTCCAGCAATGGGGCCTCTCTGCCCATCCTCCTGGTCCTCTTGGTCCTCCCCACCTGCTCCACCACTCCACATCCCCCAGGGCCAGTTGTGCTCCCTTGATGGCCGGGGAGAATAACTAAAATAGAGTTGATTTTTTAGTCAACTTTCCTAATTTCAGAGCAACAGAGAACAATTCACTTAATGTTTAGGGACTGCCATGTGTGGCGTGCGGAGCCACCAGACACCCGAGTGAAGAGCTGGGAATCAGGCTGGAGTCAAGCCAGGGCCACAGGGGCCGTGCCCTGCAGAGGTGTCCTGCTGGATGCCCCAGGGCACCGTGGCCGAATCCCAGCCTCTCCACGTCCAGCGTGGTGTCGCGTGTGGATAGCTAGGGCCCCCATGCACTTTCTGTAAATGACAACCAGAACGCCGCTGCCGCTCCACTCGCCTTCAGCTGGTGTCTTTGTTCACGTTTTATTTTAAAAAGACAAAGAAGTACAGATGAAACTGAACACGTTCACATAACCAGTACAGAGTGAACAAATGTAAACATTTCAGGACATTTCGTGTGTTGCCTGTAGATTGTTAACAGATGTGGCCCCCTACATTTCCCTGTTGGGTGGGGGTGGCCGCCTGGTGTGGCCCTGTGTCTTAATTCTGAGGATAGAAGGAGAAAAATGAAGATTCTTTATTCTTGCCTCAAGCCGAGTATCCGCACTTCTGGGCAGAACTCGACGATCTGTTGTCTTAAGAGCCACCGGCTCTGCGGTCTTTGCTGGGTGCTGCTGTCCCTGTGGGTGGGGAGGGGGGCTTACCACCCAGAGCAGGGGTCCCTGCCTGCCCTGCCTCAGAGTTTTCACTCTCAGCCCCCAAGACGGCATCCACTGGCCTTCCTCTGCACTCCCAGGGCAGGGACCAGCTGCAGTGACCGTCAGTCAGGCCTTGGTGCCCCGCTGCCACGAACCTCCCCGGGCTCATGCCCCCTGCTGGGTGACCAGGGTCAGAAAAGTGCTCTGTGCGTCCAGACAAACGTGTGGGTTTTCGCCAGCGGCCCGGAAAGCGCCAGGAACGGTACAGGCACTGAAAAGCTTGCAGCGGGAGCCATGTGTAGGCCCCCTGGGTGGTTCTCTGCAGCCGGGCTCCCCCCCAGCTCTGCCGTCTAGCCAAGGGGGGGACCGAGGACCTGCATGTGTGCTCTAGGACCCATCAGAGTCTGGAGGTGTAGGTCTGGTCTGTTGCCTGGTGCTCCCGATTCTGAGGACGGTATGCTAGACATTAGGCCTTCTCCTTTTCTGTTCCCAAAGCCAGCTGGGTTGGGTGGGTCTGACGTCCCAGGAGAGGCCTGTGTCAGCCGCTTCTTCCAGACAGGACGGGACGGGTCGGGTCGGGAGAATGTCTTGCCGCTACTGCGGTGGCTGGCCCGCATCCCTCCCTCAGGATCCCCTCACTCCTGCTCTTCCTGAGCGGTTTCCACACTTACCCCAGCAGCTCTCAGCCCCCAAGCCCCACCCTGTTCCCTTTTGGTGTCTGTCTGTGTGACGGTGTCTGTGCTCCCCGTGACCGTGGTGACGGTGCAGGGTTGGGGTGTCTGGGTCCTCAACTAACTCTTGCTGTCTTTTTCCTCCTGCGCTCACCCATGCCACCTCACTCTGCCTCTCAGACCTTGCAGTTTTCAAGGAACGACTCCGAATGCTAACCGTAGGAGGTAGGAAAACAACGAGCCTCTCCCCTTTCTTGAGCCGAGGACTTCATTTCAGCAGGATGTGCAACTTTTCCCAGCATGCCATTTGGGGAAAGTTGACTGTTGATTGTCCCGTCATTCGGCTGTCACCCAGCAGGGAAAGCCACTTCTGTGTCGTCTCTGTCCCTGTCCATTTTCATCTCCTGGAGTGTGTGGCCGCTGCTTCGCTGGGCTTGTCCGGTGCAGGTGGCCTGTGGCTCCTGCCGGGGCCGGTGGGGCCTGACACCACACGGTGTTGTGCATGTCGGCTCCTCCTTCCCACCACCTCCCGTGCTGTGCCTTCCACGGGGCTCTGGATTCTTTCAGATTCTGCTTCCCGGGCGTTTTGGACAAGATCTCTCTTTGATTTTCCCATGTGTGAAGGACACCTGAAGTACTGTAAACACGTACTTCATCGAGTAAGGAATCCTCAGTGACCTGTTCTTCTGGGCAAAGCGCCTTTGAGGAATCCAGAGTGAGGTGCTGGGGGCCATCTGCCTGTCGTCATCCCCCCACCCCCCACCAGTGGCCAGTCTTACCCACGCCAGCTGGCGCTCAGAGGGTCTCTTTTTCCTCCATCGTCCCATAGCTGTGACTCTCATCCTGATTGCACTTGTGAGATCGCTGTAGATTCACAGCAGCTCTAAGAGTTCACAGGGGTCCCCCGTGCCGGTGTGGCCACACGTCACCTCGGGTCCTTCCTGCTGCCCTTCTCAGCCCCAACTGCTTCCCCTCCATCCCACCCCGTGGAACCCCTGGCAGCCACCACCCTGGTCTCCATTTCTGTGATTCATCATTTCAGGGTGTTATGCAAATGCAGTCATAATACGTCGCATTTTGGATTTGGCATTTTTCAGTCAACGTGATTTTTCTGGGTTTGATCCAGGCTGCTCTGTCACTCTAGCTTGTCCCTCCTTGCTGAGTGGCACCCCTTGCCGTGGGCTCCCACCGTTGTGTCCACTCCTTACTCATTAAGGGACCTTCACGTGGTTCCCATTCTTTGGCTCATAGAGTCTTTTGAGAGGCAAAATTTTAAATTCTGATGAGGTCTGTTTGTCAGTTTTCCCTTTGATGGATTGTGCTTTCGTTGCCAAGCCTACGAACCTGAAGATTGTCTCCTGTGTATTTTTCTAGTGGTTTTTCTAGGTTTGCATTTTACATTTAAATCTGAAAAAAGGCTTGTCTGCGTTTACAGAGCGACTTGCTGACATTTTGGTAACGATGGTGCTAAACCTACAGCTTGGTTAAAGAGATTTTCTGTCTTTACTCCATTGCCTCCCAGTCCATGAACGTTGTATGCCTCTCCGTTTATGTAGATCTTTTTTTATTTCTTTCGTCGGCTTTTTGTAGTTTTCAGCTTACCAGTTCTGTATGTGTTGTGTTAGATTTATACCCAAGACTTTTTTTCTTGTTAATGTTAGTGTCTACGTATCATTACCAATATCTAGAAATGGAATTGATTTTTGCATTTATGTTGTATCCTGTGGCCTTTCTGAGCTCGCTTATTCTAGGACCTTTTTTTTTTTTTTTTTTTTTTTTTTTTTTTTGTAGAGTATTTAGGATTTTCTGTGTAGATAATCATGTCACCTGACAATAGGAACAATTATTTCTTCCTTTCCAATCCGTGTGTCTTTTATTTCCTTTTCGTGCCTAATTGCCCTAGCTAGAACTTACAGCACTGTGTTGAGTAAGAGTGCTGAGAATGTACATATTTGCCTTGTTTCTGGTCTTAGGGGGAAAGCCTTCAGTCTTTCATCACCAAGTATAATATCAGCCACGGATTTTTTTGTAGATGCTCTTTATCAAGTTGAGGAAGTTCCTTTCTATTCCTATTTTTGCTTATTGTTATTTATGAGGAAGAGTGAAAATTTTCTGTATCTGTTGATATAATCGTATGATTTTTCTTCTTTAACCGTATGGTAGATTACATTGATTGATTTTCAAATATTGAACCCAGCATGCATTGCTAGAACAAACTTCTCTTGGTTATAATTTTTTATACATATTCCTGCAACTGTGCATTTCTTGTATTTATATTAATGAGGGAGATTCGTCTGTAATTTTCTTTTTCAGCTGTCTTTGCTCTTTGTGTCGGTAATTCTAGCCTCATAAAATGAGGTTGTTTTTTTTTTTTTTTTTTCTATTCTGTTTTCTGTTTTGGAAGAGATTGCATATATTGGTGTTCATTCTTTTTTAAACATTCGGTAGAGGGGCACCTGGGTGGCCCAGTGGGTTAAGCATCTGACTCTTGATTTCAGCTCAGGTCATGATCTCCCAGTTCGTGGAATCGAGCCCCATATCAGGCTCTGCACTGACAGCACGGAGCCTGATTGGGATTCTCTCTCCCCTCTCTCTCAAAAATAAATAAACATTTTTTTTAAAGTGCTTAAACATTTTCTAGAATTCTCAAAAAAAACCATCGGGTTTGGAGATTTCTTTTTCAGAAACTTTTTATTTATGAATTCAATATCCTTAATAGTGGCAGAGATATTGCAAATTATCTGTTTCATATCAGGTGAGTAATGCAGTTTGTATTATTCTAGAACTGGTTCATTTCATATGAGTTGTCAAGTATACGTTGTACATGTATAGAGTTGTTCGGAGTATTCCCTAAGTATCTTTTTTATTTCTGCAGGGTCTGTATTGATAGCCACTTTTATTCCTGATATTGGTAATTTCTGTCTTTTTCTTTGTTAGTCTTATTAAAGGTTTGTCAGTGCTATTGATCTTTTCAAAGAACCAGCTCCTTGTTGCACTGATTCTTCTCTGTTGTTTGCTATTTTCAATTTCAGTTGATTTCAATTGATTTCTGCTTTTATCTTTATTTCCTTCTGCTTTCTGTGTGGGGTTTCCCCCCTCCTTTTCTAGGTTCTTGTGGTTGGAGCTTATATTACTGACTTACGACTTTTTCTCTTTTTAATGTGTGTGTTTACTACTGTCAATTTAGCTGTCCCACACATTTTGATATGTTGTATTTCTTTTTCATTCAGGTCATTGTATTGATACCCTTTAATACTTCTTCTGTGCTCTGTGGATTATTTAGGGTCATGTTGTTTCATTTTCAATAATTTGGAGACATTCCTTTTGTCTTTTTGTTACTGATTTCTAATTTGACTCATTTGTGGTTAGAGGGTGCACTCTGTTCAATTCCACTAAACTTGTTGAGGATTTTTTATGGCCCAGGGTGTTGTCTGTCTTGAGTTCCATGGGCACTTAGAAAGAACGTGTGTTCTGCTACTGATAGGTGAAACGTCCTGTCAGTGCCCATTAGATCCTGTTGGTCGATAGTTGTTGAGTTCTTCTACATCCTTGTCTATTTACTTTTTCAATGAATTACTGAGAGAGAAGAGTTGGAAGTCTCCAACTATAGTTGTGAATTTCTGTTTCTCCTTTTGGTCCTCAGTTTTTGGTGCATATATTTTGTAGCTCCACTGTTGAGTGCATGTGCAATTAGGATTGCTGTATCTTCTAGGTGGATTGACCTATAGTTATGTCATGCTCCCTCTGTGTCTATTAACTTTCTTTGTTGTGATGTCTAATTTAGCTGGTAATAAGAGAGCCACTTCTGCTGTTGCTTGGGTTTACATGATATATCTTTTTTCATCCTTTTACTTTTAATCTGCCTGTAAGATTATAGTCAAAGTGGATTTCTTAGACAAGCATATAGTTGGGTCCTGTTTTTTTGTTTGTTTGATTTTTAATCCACTCTGCCAATCTCTGTCTTCTAATTGGTGTATTTAGGTCATTTATATTTAATGTAATTATTGTTATGCTAGAGCTTAAGTCTAACTTCCTATTCTTTCTTTTCTGTTTGTCTTCTTTTTCATTTCTTGGCTCTTTTTTCCTGACTTCATATGGATTTTTAAGCCTATATTTTATTTATTTATTTATTAACGTTTACTTACGTTTTTTAGTAATCTCTGCACCCAATACAGAGCTCAAACTCACAACTCCAAGATCAAGAGTCATATGTTCTTCTAACTGAGCCAGCCAGGTACCCCAAGCCTACATTTTAAAATTTCACTTTTATTTATATATAGTATTTTTGGTCATATTTACATGTTTTTAGTAGTTTTTTTCTGCCTTTTTTGTGGTTGTCTAGGTATGATACTATATATATAGAACTTACCATAACCTACTGGTGTCGCCATGTTACAAGTTCAAGTGAAGTGTAGAAAGTGCACCTCCCTGTACGTCCCTTTACCTTCCCCATTTAAAGTAAAATTGTCTTGAATACTTACTCTGCCTGCATTTAGAACCACATCAGGCAGGTCAGAGGTTTGACATCACATCAAACCAAACTTAGAAGACCCAGGAGGAGAAGGAAATCTGGTTGGTTTGCCTGTGTTTTGCCTTCCATGTCCTGACTTCCTCCTAGTGTTTAAGAGCCCTTTTGACATCACCTCCTTTCTTTGTAGAGCACCTCCAATAGCCATTCCTTAGGTGACAGACTCTATTCATTCCCTGTAACTGAGGATATCTCCATTTCCCCTTCATTCCTAAAGCGTGTTAAACCCGGCACATGGGGTTCTAGGGAGACAGCTCTTTCCTCATGCTTTGGAAAAGTGTGCAGACCCCACTCTGCCCCCTTGTTCCTGATGCAAAACCCTCAGTCATGCAAGTGGTTTTTCCCTCCAGGTGAGGTGTCCTGGACAACTGCTACTTTTGAGACTCTTTCTTCATCTTTAATTTTGAGAAGTTTATGCCGTGTTTTGGCGTGGTCGTACTTGGGTTTCTTGTGTGAGTTCGTACCACGTCTTGAATCTGTGGGTTGAAGTCTGTGGCCATGTTTGGGGCATTTCAGCCATTATTTTCCAAGTCCCTTTTTTCAGCTTCCCTCTCCCTCCTCCCCTTCTGGGATTCATGGGTACAACACAGTCTCTTGTTTTATGTCACGTGTCTCCGAGGCTTTCTTCGTTCATTCCCCAGTCTGCTTTCTCTCTCTCTTTCACATTACTTCATTTCTACTATTCTGTTTTCAGGGTCCCCAGTCCTGTGACCCTAATTCTGCCCCTGAGCCTATCTGCCAGCTTTAACTCAGGGCTATTGCATTTTGCAGTTTCAGAATTTCCCATCTGGTCCTTCTTGGCGTCCCCAGTCTTTGCAGAGACTTGGTTCCCCACTGTCTCTGTCACATTCTCATTGCTCACCAAAGTCGTCTGAGGACGGCTCCTAGGGAGCCCCCGCCAGGTAATCCCCAGCGTCCGTGCCACCGGCTGCTGGTGTCTGTTGCTTGTCTTTCTTCATTCAGTCTGCAGTGTTCTTGTTGTGACGGATTCTTTTATTGAGACCAGGACATGCGGGTGTTACCAGACGTGGAGTCTCACTCGGAGCTCTGTGACAGCAGGGCCCGTCTGCACACTGCTGCGGCAGGGAGGGGCCGCCTCCTCACTGCCAGCTTGGGGTGCGCATCCCAGTCCCCACAGACCCCGCTGACACTAGGATGGGGAAGTGGGCTTGTGCACAACCTCCCGGAGGGAGTGAAGCCTGAGCTCCATCCTGGGCCTGAAGCCTTGGGACGGGGCCAGAGATTGGCATGCATGGCAGCCTGGCAAGGGTGTGGTCTGTGTGCTTGGGTAGAATAGAGCCGTCATTGTCAAAGCTCTCTGTCCTGC